CCTAATTATAATTTCTTTTCATGCAGGTAGGCAATATTATAAATCATGTTTAGAATAAAAATTGCTTGAAAACTTCCTCATGTTATACAGCAGTGTTAATACTCAGAATTTTATAGACACTTTAAACAACATGTAAGGTTTACTGCTTTGCGATAGAATTTCTGGGCAAGATTAGTGATATGTTTGTTCATAGTGTGAAGTTTGAAAACTGAATTGAGAAAGATTTGCAGAGTGTGTTTTGATAATCTGGGTGTTAGTCTTATAACTTTGTTTTGGTGGGTTTAACTGATACCATAATGACTGTATTTAAGGCATACATTAGACCTACTCTTGAATATGGGAATATGATAACTTGCAACATGTCAAAACACATATCCCAAAAGCTGCCAACTGATACCATAATGACTGTATTTAAGGCATACATTAGACCTACTCTTGAATATGGGAATATGATAACTTGCAACATGTCAAAACACATATCCCAAAAGCTGCCGGCAGCTTTTGAATTTCCCTCCAATTTTTCTTAGGTAATTGGGCTTCTGATTAACATTAGTGCTGATTTGATTAAAGTGGTTTGTCCATGTTAATTGTTTGTTGAAGGTGACTCCTAGGTATTTGGCTGTTTTGAAAAGGTGATATGTGAATCATGTATTTTAACTTTGGGGAAATATTTTCATTATCTTGTGATTTTTCTGTGGAATGCTATTGTTTGTGTTTAGTGGTACCCACCATTTGTCACACACCAAGAAGTGATGTGGTTTAAGGATGTTTGTACTTGTGATGAGGTGACAGTTGGCAGAAATTCATTAACAAGACAATTTTCATTTTTAGCAGCAACTATATATTAACATCTATACCTTACCACTATCTAGGTCCATAGGAAAGGCACTGTTCAGTGCTCAGGCAGCAAAAATGGGCTTTTCTCCAGGTATTCCCCCCCCCCCACACACACATACACCTAAATTTATGGCTTTTGGATCTAATGATCCTTGACACCCTAAGAAGAGCTGTTGATCCATAGATAAAAAAAACTATTACTGCTGTTTTTAACCTTAGATTTATTGGTCCTAAAGACCTTGTCAAAGCTTCTACATTAGATCCGAAATCATAGGGCCATATGAGCTTTCCTGTCAACTGATGCTCATAAGGTTACAGCCTGGTCACCCTTTGATCATTCCTCATCCAACAAGTCACAGCCATCTACTATCCGTGAAGAATTTATTGGGCTTGGCTCAGACACACACACAGCAACAGTTATTATTATTAGTTTTTGTGTATATGTGCGTGTATGTGTATGGGAGAGAGTTCACACATGTGTGTTTGTGTGTGTGTATATATATATATATATATATATATTTTATTTATTTTTTTCCTTCTTATTCAGCCATTGCTTGTAACTATTAACCCAATCCAATGGACACACTATATCCATGCAAGATTGGGATGAGAAGAAATTAAATTTTCTGGTTATTTCTAAACCCTCACATGAAATGGGTTAAGTAAATTTGAACCAAAATACCTACCACATCAAACGAAATAAAATGTGGAAGGTTTTAATGCTAGACAAGCTGTGACTGTTAAGGAATTCCCAAAATGAATTTTGTTTTTGGAACAACCTAACAATAAAGTACTAGTTTTATGGTTTTATTATGTGCACTATAAAACTTCAGTACAATCAAGTGCCAGACCCCCATATATTGCATTTCCACTTTAGCTACATTCAAGAGTGTGCAGAGTCCTAGTGCTTTGTCAGTACTCCCCCCCCCCCCCACACA